ATATATATATATATATATATATATATATATATATATATATATATATATATATATATATATATCCGGTTTTTTTAGGCGTTACGCCCGTCCGGTAGGGATCTATGGAGGAGTATCACCGAGCCGCAAGCCCTTATCTCTTGCCGTACTGCTCCACCATAGGCCGATCAGAACCCAGCATATCCTAGTCTAAGCCGCAGATTCATCTAGAATTTTAAACTGCTGCGTTAGACTTTTTGTTTTCTGTACACCGAGCTTGGGCTCGACCCACATCCACTAAACCATTCGACAGTGAAGCGAATGAGAGGCAGTCGCACAGCCCGCTGAGCTATCTGACCGACTAGGCTAGGTCTTTTATTTTCCTGAATAAATTAAAGCTGTCATGTTTATTTTGTAGCATTTCTATTTCATCACATTTTTGTAACCAAATTTCTTTTGCTATTCGTATTTGTGCCGTATTTTGTTTTGTGTTTGCTGGTACAATGATTTATTTTTGTTCGTATTCTTTTTTCTTTTCTTTGGTGTTGCGTAGATACTTTTTTAAAGGTTCTATTAAGTCAGCCTTTATTTTTTCCCAGTTTTTGTTGATGTTTTCTTCATTGCATCCCTATTTAATCTGTACGGTTTTTATAAGTTTATTTATTTTTTCTTTGGTAATTCTTAGTGCATTTATATCAGTTCTTTCTTTTTTTGTTGTCTTCTCTATTCTTTCGCGTAAATAGACGCTTCGCTTCAAAAGTGTAAACGTGTGTGGTGTCCTGTGGTCTGTGAACTGTGTTTGTCATTTGTCATCTTAGTTTTAGTTAATGTCATATGTAATTGTCATGTTATTCATTCAAACAAAACAATGCTAATTTCTTGTATATTAAAACCTAGTTTATAAAGGTTTTGCATTTCATTACAATTTAATATACAAGAAATATCAAATATGGATAAGCTACTACGACCAGACAGATTCGATGCTGATCCTAACTCTCCTAGATCGTCTCAAGAATGGATGCATTGGAAAGCTACCTTTGAAAACTTTATTTCCTCTGTGATTGATGTTTCAGAGGAGGAGAAATTCAAACTACTGGTAAATTACGTGAGCAACAATATCTATGAACTCATCTCTGATTGTAGAAAGTATTCTGAAGCCAAAAGTATTCTTGAAGCAGCTTTTGTTAAACCCAAAAATGAAATTTTTGCCAGACATATCCTAATGACAAAAAAACAACAAACTGGTGAAAATATAGGTCAATACGTTCAACATCTTAAAGTGCTTTCCAAAGACTGTAATTTTCTAGCCGTTTCTGCAGACCAAAATAGAGAAGATTATATAAGAGACTCTTTTATTAATGGCATTCTTTCTAATGACATAAGACAACGTTTACTAGAAAACAACACTATTACTCTGCAAGATGCCATAGTAAAAGCCCAGTCTCTGGAGTCAGCTTCAAAACACTCTGAGGCTTATACAACTCCTGTACAAATTATTAATGCAATTTCTTCTGAAACCAGAGAGCACACTAATTATACTTCTGCTGCTGTGAAAAGTTGGAAATGTTACTTTTGTGGATCAACTGAAAGGCATCCTCGTAGCCTATGCCCTGCTAGAGACAAAGTTTGTAAGAAATGCTCGAAAGTTGGACATTTTTCCAAGGTATGTAGGCTTCAGATGCCCAATTCAGTATCAGCTGCTGTTTTAGCTACTACTACATCTAGTTCGAATGTTAGAAATCTTGCTGCTGCCCCTCAATGCTTATCTAAAAGTGTTACTGAGATAAAGGTGAATGGAAATACAGCTGAAAGTTTAATAGACACAGGTAGTTCTGAGTCATATATCAGTAAGAATTATGCATTGTCTATAAACGTGAAAACATTTAGAAGTCATGCAAGCATAATAATGGCTTCAACAGCACTCAGAACGACTATCTCAGGACACTGCTTTGTTAATTTAGAAATAAACGAACATTCATATAAAAATGTCAAATTATCAATAATTCAAGATTTATGTGCTGATGTAGTTATAGGTCATGACTTGCTTAAACAACATTCTTCTCTAGAAATCACTTTTGCTGGCTCAAAAATGCCTTTAGTTATTGATCATATAGATAACATTTGTAGTTTGGCATACTTAAATATAGAGCCACCCAAATTATTCTCCAATCTATCAAATGATTGCAAACCGAGGGCAACTAAATCAAGAAAATTTTCAACTGAAGATAGAAAATTCATATCTGACGAGATACAGTATCTGCTATCGAATGGAATCATAGAAGAAAGCAACTCTCCTTGGCGTGCACAAGTACTTATTACAAAAAGTGAAACACACAAAAAGCGAATGGTGGTAGATTATTCACAAACAATTAATAAATTTACTTACTTAGATGCCTATCCTCTCCCAGATGTTGAAGATATTGTTAGAAAAGTAGCAAGATATTCTGTCTTCAGTACTATTGATCTTAAAAATGCATACCATCAAATTCCAATTAAAAATGAAGAGAAAATATACACTGCTTTTGAAGCCAACGGCCAACCATACCAATTTTGCCGGATTCCTTTTGGGGTAACCAACGGAGTGGCTTGTTTTCAAAGGGTTATCGATGGTATTATTAAATCCGAACATTTAAAAGGTGTGTATGCATATCTTGATGACATTACGGTTTGTGGATTAAATCAACAACAACATAATGAAAATCTTAATAAATTTATGGAAGTAGCGAAGAAATACAATCTAACAATAAATCAAAATAAAAGTTCTTATACACTAAATTCAATCAAACTTTTGGGTTATCAAATAGAAAATCAGACCTTAAAACCTGATCCTGAAAGACTTGAACCATTAAAGAAGTTACCCTTACCAAACGATTCACAATCACTAAAGAGAGCTGTCGGAATGTTTGCACATTATTCCAAATTTATCCCACAATTTTCAGAAAAGATACAAAAACTAGTCACATGCAATACTTTTCCTTTAACAGAACAAGCAGCTGAAGCTTTCCAAATTCTTAAATCTGAAATTATTTCTTCAGCTGTTACTACAATTGATGACAAGATTCCTTTTATCGTTGAATCTGATGCTTCAGATTTTTGTATTGCTGCTTCTCTTAGCCAAGGAGGAAGACCTGTTGCTTTCTTTTCAAGAACCTTATCAAAAAGTGAAAGAAATCATTCATCAGTGGAAAAAGAGGCTTATGCAATAGTGGAAGCTCTTAGAAAATGGAGACATTTCTTGATAGGTAAACATTTTCGACTTATAACTGATCAAAAGTCTGTCTCTTTTATGTTCAATATGCGCCACACTAGTAAGATAAAAAATGAGAAGATTATCAGATGGCGCCTTGAATTATCATGCTACAGTTTCGATATTCAGTACCGACCAGGAGTTGAGAATGTAGTGCCAGATACTTTCTCACGAGTGAGCTGTTCAATAAATCCTCGACCAAGTCTATTTGAACTACATCAATCCTTGTGTCATCCAGGAATCACCAGAATGGTCCATTGGATAAAGACACGCAACTTACCATATACTATTGATGAAGTCCGTGAAATGACCAATCGCTGTCCTATCTGTGCAGAAATAAAACCAAAGTTTTTGAAAACTCAAGGGAGATTAATTAAAGCTACTTCGCCTTTTGAAAGATTGTCTCTGGATTTTAAAGGACCGCTTCCATCTAGATCTCATAACAAATATATCCTAACAATTGTTGATGAATATTCTCGATTCCCCTTTGTATATCCATGTCAAGATGTTTCAGCGAAAACTGTTGTGAAGTGTCTTACAAACTTATTCTCTTTATTTGGAATGCCTAGTTATATCCATTCAGACCAAGGGGGGGCATTTATGTCTCAAGAAGTCAAAACATTTCTCCATTCACAAGGAATACCAACAAGCCGAACAACATCTTACAATCCTGAAGGAAATGGCCAGACAGAAAGATATAATGGAATTATATGGAAAACTATTTCTCTTGCATTAAAATCTAAACATTTAAAAACTGAACAGTGGGAAGAAGTAGTTGAGATAGCTCTTCATTCAATTCGTTCTCTTTTGTGTACATCTACAAACAGTACCCCTCATGAGCGAATGTTTCATCATTCCAGAAAAGCTATAAATGGAGCTGCACTTCCTTCATGGTTGATAACCCCCGGAAAAGTATTTATGAAAAAAAATGTGAGGCAGTCCAAATATGAACCCCTCGTTGAAGAAGTACAGCTAATTGAAGCAAATCCAAACTATGCTGTTGTTAGACGTGAAGATGGTAAAGAAACAACAGTAGCCTTAAGACAACTTGCACCACGAGGAGATGCATCTCTGGACTGTGTTAGTGGATCGGAATCTGCGGTTTCTAATGAACAGTTTATCAAAGATCCACCAAGCCCTAGATTGAGTATATGTGAGGAAAATCCAAATATTTCTCCTGTTAACATTCTGGAAGATCAAGGTCATATTGAAAGTGTTTTAGAGGAAGAAAATAAACACAGTCTTATTAGAAGAGGTACCAGGGAAAGAAACACTCCTGCTTACCTTAAAGACTTTGTTCAAAAATAAAGTTGGGGTGAATGTCCTGTGGTCTGTGAACTGTGTTTGTCATTTGTCATCTTAGTTTTAGTTAATGTCATATGTAATTGTCATGTTATTCATTCAAACAAAACAATGCTAATTTCTTGTATATTAAAACCTAGTTTATAAAGGTTTTGCATTTCATTACATGTGGGATAATAATTTGGTTACATTGGTGGTGTGATGGCTAAATCATGCTGCAGGACGTGATGCTGATAGAAAATGCATTAAGGCATCAAATGTCTGAAAATTTGTTAAAAATAAATAGACTGAAAGTTTTTGTTAAAGTGCTCTTGGTAAATAGAATGCTTACTTTTAAAACAATTAAATTAATATCAGGGTAAAATCATGCTAATATTATTGTAATTGCAATCTTTGAGCGAAATCTAGAACTAATCAGATCCTGTTAGTATTTCGAATTCCTGTTTTCATGCATATTTAATGTTTTATTTTACAGGGAGGAGATGGAAAAAACCAAAATCATTGACGCGGACCGAATGAAAACTGGATATGGTATCTATAAAAAACATAAACGTACAAAAGCGTGGACTCATGAGGAAACAATAATGTTCTACACAGTTCTAAACACTGTAGGTACAGACTTTATGGCAGTAACGGAATTTTTCCCGAACAGAAGTCGGCGAGATGTAAAAGCTAAGTTCAAAAAGGAGGAGAAAATCAACAGACATTTAATAGATAAAGCTTTGGGAGAACCCTACAGGTTTGATCTTGATGATTTGAAACACGACATAGCTGCAAAAATACGAGAGCAAGAGGAACTAAAAAAGCAAAGAGAGTTGGAGACCAAGCGAAAAGAAGAACGACAAAAGGAACTAATTGAAGAAAAGAAAAGAGGTACGTACAATTCCGACTTTGTCTAAATTAATTAGTTATTTGTTTTTGATATGCCAAAATAAACAGATAAATTAATGCGATTAGAAATTTGATAAACTTATATTAAATTAACAAATTTGATCGGTTTTTGCATTGTAATTGTTTTATGATTTTTTCCTGATTGTCTCTGAATTTTTTAGAGGAAAATAGAGTGTGCTTATTGTTCTTCTTCAACTGCCATCTCCGCGGTTTAAGTCGGCAATTATCATAGCTATTCGGACTTTTGAAACGGCTGCTTTGAAAAGTTCGTTTGATGTACATCCGTACCACTCTCTCAGATTGCGCAGCCATGACATTCTACGCCTCCCTAGGCTTCTCTTTCCTTGGATCTGTCCCTGCATAATTAGTTGGAGTAAGGTGGTAAGGTGTATTTCTCTCTACGTGTAATATGTCCGAGATATTCCAATTTTTTTTGTTTTAATTGTATTTAAAATTTCTATTTCTTTATTCATCCTTCTCAGAACCTCTTTGTTTGTGACGTGTTCTGTCCACGATATTTTCAGAATTCTCTAAATTTGGAGTGTAATGTTGCAATACAGGGTGCAACGTTGTAATGGGCTCACTGGCGCACCCAAGGGGGGTATTGGGGGTTAAACACCCTCCTCCCCAGGACCCTATTCCGACACTGTTATTTACCTATTTTAAAGACTTAAAATGGTGGAGGTAGCATAAGGAAATTTCGGTGCCCAACCAAACCCCCCCCCCCCCACCCAGAGGAAAATTCTAGGTGCGCTACTGAATGGGCTTTCACTAAATCTTGATTTCCCTTCTTATACTCCAGCTCCTTTATGGTTTCTAACCTCTGTATATCAACATTGATCCACCATTATGAGATTCATTTTACTCGACTCCCATTCGTCTCTTCCTGGAAATAAACGGCTTTTCGACAGCTTTCCAATTTTGGTTGCTTTGTAATTATCTCTCCAGATATCTCTCACCATGCTTCTTAGCGTCTTCTCCACCTTATGTATACTCCTACCTTCCCCTCCGTCCCCATCCATAAAACGGATATTTTACAAACATCTGCATATTTTGGCTAACTATATCTGCAAACATTTTATTTTAATAATATTATTTTTTTAGAAATCGAAATGAGAAAACTGAAGATCCCAAAACCGTCCAATAATAAAAATCAAGCAGATGATGTAAAAAACGTAAAAGAAGAGATAAAAACATTTGCAAAAGAAACCAAAGAAATCGAGAAAATAGCAATTCGGAAAAAAGAAGCAACACAGGACATAGAAGGACCAAAAGTTACAGTTAAAAAAGAAAGTCATCACAAACCAAAACCAAAGAAACCCAGGAAAGAGAAGCTTAGTATAAAAATGTACATGTCAGACAGTGACGCCGATGAATCAGATTTAGCAACCCAAAGCGAATCAGATGATGATGTTATACTATCTCACAAACCTACTAGATCTGGAAGAATACCAAAATTAACTCAAAGGTACGAAGATGAAGTTAGCCTTAATTCTCTAATAAAGGAAAAGGAAAATAGTAGGATACCCAACTGTGCTGAACTCAAAAATGTAGAACCAGGCTCAGTGATGATAATAACTGAAGATGGTCCTAATGGTGAACCGATCTACAAAATATTCATGGTAACCCCTGAACAACAAGCTACTCCATTGAATATTCCATCGGATGATGTTGCCAAAGTCATTCAATTGAGGAAAGGATATACTGCTCATAACATTATGACAATATCTGCTAATGCCACTACGGATGAGGAAGATGAAAACTCCGTTGAAAATAACTTTACCATACCTGAAGATAAAAATGTTACTACACTTAAAAGTTGTGACGAGAATAGTGTAGATATGATTTCGGAACAAAATATAACTATACCTGCAGATGATAATGTGACAAATCTCAGGAGTAGAATAGACAATGATACTGTTGAAAATGTGATTCCGGAACAAAATATAGCTATACCTGCAGATGCCAATGTGACAAATCTCAGGAGTAGAATAGACAATGATACTGTTGAAAATGTGATTCCGGAACAAAATATAACTATACCTGCAGATGTCAGTGTGACAAATCTCAGGAGTAGAGTGGACAATGATACTGTCGAAAATGACTTAAAATATGAAGTCTCCAGTCCTACAAGGATATTGCATGATGATGACCTTCAAACAAGCATTGGATATGGAAGCATAAATGCATCTTCCGAAAATATCAAAATTATAGCAACAGAGCCAATAATTTTGGATAATCCAACGCCATCTACAGTACCTGATTCTGTTTGCTTTATAGGGAACGAAAGAAGTGAAAACTTACATGAGAGTAATACTCAAATATGTATAGCTAACACTGATGAACATACCAAAAACTTTAAAGTTTTAGCAACAGAGTCGTCCGTGTTGGATGATTCCGGCATCCAAGACAGTTTTATCGTTTTAGATACACAACAAAATGACTTGCCGATAAATACTGAGATAGTTTTTAGAGTAAATAATGATGGTATGTGTTCAAAAGAGCTTGGTGAAGATGCCGATCAGAATCTTCACCAAGTTCTTGTGAACACTGTTGAAATGTCCGCTGAATAGTTAGAAAAGGTTGTAAAAAACATATAGTGTTGGTAATTTCATTAATTATTGTACGTATTTATTTTTACTAAGACTTTTATATAATGATATGTATACAAAAGACAGAAACATAAATTTATTATGAATTTTGATTTATTATAACCTTTTTTTCCCAAAAATTAAATTTTTTAATATTCCACATACTTCATTATGACATTGGATCTAAATAAAAATTAAACAACAATTTCCTTTGTGGTTCTTTAGTTTTCTTCAGTTATTACGTACCCCCGGAAGAAAAAAAGCTGAAAAAATATACAGGTATTTAAAGGCTCTAAAACATATGAGTGATATCTGATGACAATTCCATGAAAACATAGAGCTGTAATATTTTAATTTTAGGCCCTAGGTGATTTCTAGGCGACTTGTAGCGCATTGTGTTGAGTCACTTCTTGTACTACTAATATAAAACTAGTCGCTAGATGGCCATAGTTGGCTTATATCTTTATTATTATCGATTTTTTATAACTCAATACTGACAACATATGTCACCTCATGTCACCTGTTATATTTTTGAGAAGGTTCTTTTAATTTTTTATAAGAAATAGTGTTTTTTTATTTTGGCGATTTTTTTATATTGTGCAATGATCCTATAAATAGACAGTGCACGTTTTAGTCTTTTTTTGTTTTTGAACTATCAAAAACCCTTGTAAAACATTTGTATCAAATTTGTTACAATACCACATATAGGGCGAGTAAAGTTTTTTTGCAAATATAGATTTTTTATTGTTTTTATCTCTGCCATATTTTTATACAATTTTATTTATTGCCTGGGTGCTGTACCATAGGCACAATGCCATGAACAGTACAAGCTCAAAGTACATGAGCCTGAAAATATTTCTGCCTCTATGAAAATCGATTCTGATGGACTGTTAAAAAAGGGGCCAATGGGGCCTATAAAAAGATTATCTAATAAAGAACAAGGCCCTGTACCTAAAAAAAGAATCTACAAAAAGGCATCAATAGATGACGACTCACGCTATGATGGGATAGACCACTAAAAAATGTGAACTGTGATCACAAGGTTTGTGTTATTTTTTGCAATGTAACTTAAACTGCGAGGCATAAGTTAGGGATATAGGTTAATAATAACAACTGTATAAATCAATTAAGTCAGTTATAGCTTAAGATTACAGCAGGCTCACTAGGTTCATAACGTAGTTGCTCAAATTCACATATTTAAAATTAGGAGAATACTTTATAACAGGTTGCCAGTCAAAAAGTGACCGCAAATATTTTTAATTGAATTAATAGTATATAATGTTTGACAAAAAATTTATTTCGTTCACTTATTTTTTAAATAAAATACGCTGCTCATTACGAATGTGTATGTTTTTATATCAAATTAAATCAATTTTTTTCTTAATGTGATGATATAAGTTTGTCTGAGAAGAAATGGTCGAAAATTAGGGTGAGTTTTTAAAGCAGCATGCGTCGATAGATAGTATAATAATATAGATATTAGAGTATGTTTCAACTGTAGTGGCGGAAATTTCTAGGAACAGTAAAGTCTCACCAAACAAAGCAGGGGCGTTCCAAAAAATACTTATGATTTAAATCAAATTGTTAAAGATATGTACACACAATTTATTAAACAATGATATTACGTCATGAATCATTTAAATCAATTGTAGTATTTTTATTAATCTAATTTGTTGATTTTATTTATTATCAAAGGTTCTATTTATAACCCAAATTTATTAAAGTATTTATTAAAATATTCACTAATTTATTTTTACAATATGTATTTATATTTATTATCGCGTAGAATTATATTTTCGAACTTAAACAAACTCGATATTCAAAACTACCTGACTCTTTTCAACAAAATTTCCTCCTTAAATATAAAATATAGTTAATCGAAAATCCCTTCGAAATTCGGATGGTGACCTCGTTTAGGATGGAAGGAATCCCAAAACAGACCGGTTATTTAAGAAGGGCGGCGAACTCACTGGAACAAAATAGAAGTAGAAAGAATATGTTTACAGTTATGAGTCATAATTATCGTAACACAATTCTTAATTCTTGAGTTATTACATATATGCGACGTTCACTTTCCAAATAAATATCTTCAACCTTGACAACATGTTCACACACTTTCTTCCAGTTATCTCTAGTTACGGAAGTTTTAAGAAGAGATGTCCACAATCTTTTGTCAAATTTATGTTTGATGATTTCATACAGATGTACAATCATCGCCAGCTAACTTGGCGAGAGAGTACGCAGAACGTCACAGAGAAATAAATTATGTTTACGCCCTATGATTCATCCTATTGGTTTACTATTTCTGATAAGTATATTCAGTAGCGTAGCGGTATAGGTCAAATAATTATTACACAATTAAAAAAGTAATATTTTTCGCAAGCTTTAATATATTATTAGAAAGATGAAATTGTAATTTTGGTTTATTTATTTTAAATAGTAAGCCATTGGTTTATAATATTTATTTAACTTAGTAAACAAATTATACAATAATGACTGAATTTAATTCACAAATCTACGTTGATATTGTGTTTCAAATTAAATGGAGGATATTGTATAAATAAATGCAACACAGTAATTATTTAACTTTAATATTTTGGTTTTATTATAATACTAAAACAAGTACCCGTGTTGAAAAGTGGTATCTATTTGAAAATAAATGGATTGTTAATAATTTTCTTCATTTTCATCTTCGGAAGAAGAAAACTCTGTACTGGAAGAGTCACTGTCAAGATTTATAATAATTGGAGCTATTTGCGTGGCGTTATCAGCAACTATCTCGCTGTCCATATACTCATATTCCTTCTTAATGACATGGTAACTTCGTTTTCTCCACTCATTTGCATCAATATTAGTAAATTCTTCCTCGGCGAGTTTTTGTACGTCAGCTAGCCTCATATTATTTTTGACTGTAGCCCATTGTAACATTGACGTTACAAATGGTAAATTCTTTTCTGTCAGCTAAGATATCATATCCATTTTTTTAGAATTACTGGTGGATGCTTTATTAATTTATACATTATGATATGACTCATTATCAGTAATAACAGATCCAACAGGTAAATTGGGGATTAACTGTTCTATCATCTATTTTTCATAATTTTCTGAATTCATATCATCATGATAATCTCCTGTCTTAGCTCCTGACTTAAAAATCAAAAGGGCATTCTGTATGAAACCCATCTTCCCACCACTATGTACGATAACCAACCTACTTCCCTTTCAAATGTTTTTGAACAATCCTTTGCCACTGTTATCTGTCCAGCTATTTGGCGTAGTGTGTCCTGCATGTACATAGGTTTTATCAACATATACAATTGACTTATCTTCGCTTCGGTAATATTTAATTTTGTCCAAATATTTCATGCGTAGAGCACGAGTATCATTCCGTTCAATTAATAAACGTCGATTATCTTTCGTTTTCTTCCATTTAAATTCCAAATCTTTTCTCACACTTCCAGTCCACTCGTACACCTCTTCAAGCCTTTTCTGCAAAAGCCTCATTGATACACGACAACGTTCAGTCTCATGAAAACGATGAATGGTATTTCTAATTAACTGTTTGTCATACTGTCTTAAGTCTGTCACAGTTGCTTTCCTTTAAGCAAGTATTGTAGCTGGAAATTTTAATGTATTATTTGACTCTGCGTTTGTTAACATACTGGCTTGTTAAATGATCCTTTCTACTGTACGTAAATATACCCCAGTAACTTCACTGATACGTTGTTTAATAGTGGTTCGATTATTCTTAGGAAATATTATTTGCATATATTTAAAAACATTGTAAACTATTCCTTTGGATTCTGGTGTCAATCTGATCTGTTTACTCGTACTACACTTAACCATCTCCACTCTACAAAATAGTTCTAATACATGTGACAGCACCTTTCTTGTTGAGACTCGACAACATAATGAGACTAAATTATGACCTCATTTGAAATCCAGTGACTAGAAATTCTCGGAAATAATTGTTATCAGTTCTTTGTGTGTCCTTAACGAATCGTTAAGGCGTCATTAGTAATGACATAATTATTACGGTTTTAAGATTACTGATACTAAATTAGAAATTAACTTTTACCAAACATCAATTATAAAAGGTGGTATTATAGCAAACAAAAAGTTTGGTATCTATAAAACAATCTGTGTATAAACAAACTCCATTTATTATTTAAGTGAGTAATAACTTTGTAATTAGTGTGATTTCACTGCGATTCAACTAGCAGGACGATTGGTCTTTGGTCAATACTTATGATCAGACAATTTTTAATAATAGTAGGCTGAAGCATAATTTTGAAAGTGGTATGTTTAGCCATTACATGTTGGTTGGTGACAGTCGATACAGTTTAAAACCATATCTAATGACTAAATTGCAGCAAATATCAATACCGGCTGAGGATTTATTTACTGAATCAATCATAAGAACAAGGAATGTAGTAGAACGGCAATATGAAAATTAGAAAATACCATGGCTGTGATTGTTGCAACAGGAGTGCTTCATAATATTGCCATTGATGTGGATGACAATTTTCCTGAGAATGGGCCTGAAGATGATGCAGATGATGAATTAGAACCCATACAAAATAACAAAAATATGTCAGAAAACATAAGAACTTTGCTAATAAATGAACACTTTGGTAGATTGTAAATATATTTATTAATAAAAACAAAATGTAATAATTTTTTTTTATTTTCTCCCAATTGTTTTTGTTTTAATTTTATGTTTAAATCCATTTTTGTCTAATTTTACATTTTTTTCATATAGATTTTTTTCCCTTTCTTCCTTAATTTTTCTTCCTTCCTCTTCTGCTTTATCATTCTTCTCTTCCCTTTCCATTCTTTTTCTTCTTCTTCTGCTTTAAATGTTCTCAGGAGAAGTCTGTATTTTCTCTTGTAATATTGTTCTTTTGCAGAAAAAACTGGATTTCTAATTTTTGGCAGTAATTTTTTGTTTCTGGGTGTTTGTAAATTGTTTGGAACATATGTACTCCAATTTGTTTTTTCCTGTTTTGGGCTTCTTTCTTACTTTGTCAGGTATTTTTTCTTCCTACAACAAAATATATTATTTCATCATCAAATGAAATGTTTGCTTTTGGTGTTTAACATATACAAATGATGTGTGGGTGGGAAAAGGGAGTGGAGGAAAGACTAAAGTAGTGGAAACCAGCCCTTGAAGACCATTGATTAAAGCTGAGTACAAAAGCAGAGTATTTGGAAGTTCTTTTAAAGATGGTATTTCAAATCCAAATAGCTTAGCTTGGATGGACAAGAACATGCAGAAAGTGACAGTTTTAGATATTTATGATTGGTATTACAGAGGTAGGTAAGTATATTTGTGAAAGGTCACCTTATAAGAAAGAGATGTAGTGGGTGACAATTAGTCAGGATATGGATGTAAAAGGTATTCATATTGATGATATGGCACAGGATACAAAAGTATGGAGGAAAATAATTAGAGAAGCTGACCCTGCATAGTGAGAAGGCAAAGAGAATGATGGTGACATTCAGTTTATATAGTTTTTATTAATAACTCACCAGCTCCGCCTAGGCATAGGAGTGATCTTCTAACTGATAACTTCAGTTATAATTATTTCAGCATCCTAAAAAGTAATGTTTAATTAGGAACATATGGTCTAAATTATTGTCAGGGTATCACTTAAAAATGATATCTGGAGATGCCTGAAATAAGAGACATATTAGGTAGTTAAATGATGGCATGTATATTTTTAAAATAAGGGCTAATAAATATATAGCAATTTGCCATCAGATCTTTACGAACTATAAAATGTCTACCCTGACAATCCCATTGAATTTGAACTTAAGTATTAAAATTAAATACTAGTATTTGCTGATCCATTTCATCATTGTCTATATACATTTTCTCTTCTGAAGTTATTTTCTATAAAAAATGTTAAATCAGATAATTGAAGGAAACAAATATTGATTGAATGAAAAATATAATAACAATATTGGATATAATATACAGTAGGTACAATAGATTTCAGTAAAGTTATATGTAATATAAATAAAGCTTTATTATAAATATATGAAACTTTTGGTTACTAAGGGCCGGTTTCACCAACAACAAATAAATCTGTGAATTGTTATTTGTTTATTATATTTTTATTGTGATTCAATACCATTTTTCTCTTTAGCTACTACTGTGTGTATTATGACCAAATATATAATTTACTTACACTAGTACTGGGAATGTTTTCCCATACGTGATTAGTTTGTATTGTCTCATCACTATCTATAATGGTTTTCAAGCCCACCACTGTTTTTTCATTAATAATTCTTAGCGTTGCCTCAATCACAGGATCCTCTAAAGTTTTTATTTCAGGACCACCATCAGTGCCTCTTAAATATGACTTCCCTTTGGCCACTACTTTTCTTGTTCTCGTTTTAATGTTATCATATTTATTTTTTACTTGTTCCACTGTTCGGCATACTATATTTTTAGTAATAAAATTAGTTAAAATTTTTTGCCATGCTTCTTCCTACAAAATATGAAATGCAAATGAATATCAACAGTTTGACTGTACATAGGTAATATATGATACTCAATTATTTAGATAATTTAAAGGATTTTTAACAAATGAAATATTGTACCAACCTTTTCTTTATTGTTTACTTTCTTTGTAGTTTTGCACTCTACTATATCTTTGTATTTTTCAATTTCTTGCAATAAGAGAAGTTCCTCCTCTTTGCTAAAATTTGTATAAGGTTTCTTTGATTTGTCCATTTTAAGTTTTTTCAATTATTTACTTAATTGAAAGAACTTAATTAATAGTAATAATTAATGATATAGATACCTATTATACTAATAGAAATAGTAGGTACCTAATATTAATAAAATAAGTGGTAAACTAGAATTAAAAAGTAAGTATTAAGTAATTAATCTAATTAAAAATAAAAGTAGAGTAATAATAATGAACTATAACTAACTAATGAACAAAGTAATTTTTAAGAAATTAATCTAATTAGAAAGAAAAGTATAGTAATGATAATAAACTAATTAATTTTTAGAAATAGAAATAATATTAATTAGTAGTTTAAGTTAAAAGTAGTATTAAATTAGTATTAAAGTTAATAATAATTAAATTAAATCTGGATTAGTAATTAAGTAATTAAGTTAAAAACCAACAATTATAATAGTATATCGATCTGGTAAGTAGAACTTGGTAGAGAAGGTAGAACCAAAGAATATAGACGAATATATTCTTTTGTAGAACCAGAGTAAAACCAGAGATAACATATCACTGGGTAGAACACAAACGCGGCAAAATGGCCAAAATGTATGACATTTCATTTAATGTCTATTTCCATTTTAGTTCAAATACATCATAATTCAGTTTAACCAACAACCAACAGTATAAAGAACGCTTTAAAGCGAGTTATGAAATCAAATAACGTTAACAGCCACTTTAAAGGCGAATTTAACATAAAAGTCTCCTTTTACTAAAGTCCACTTTAGGGAATCATTATGAAATCGGCCGTTAATCCGATATTTAATTTAATGTCAAATTAACATAATGTGACATAACCGTGACCGTATGTTGCGACCACAGTGTCATTTGGCCGCGTGTAGTTCATATGTAGTCTTTTCGCGCGCGCCACGTACATATTTTCTGGGAAACACACACAAATCTGCGCCGGTGTCGATTAAAAATTGTTTTTTAATTTCAAAGTCTGTTACAAAAAAGAAAATATACAATTTAAACTTTAGGTAATGGGCAATTTATCCCCTGGGATATTACCCCATAAAGGAAAAGAAGAAAAATTTTTAGGTTATGGTTATGTTATATTTGTGATTGATTAAAATAAATACCTGATCACAATACAGCCCTGTGTTCATTGATATTTATTTTGGAAATTGTTTGAAAATTATACAACATGGCTAATTCTATGGTACATTGCCAATTGTGGATGGGTAGTGTAAGTATAATTAGGTCAATAAAAACGAAAACTTACGTTTATACATTTTTAGCTGGAATCTTACATGACAGAAACATTTATTCTTAATGCTTTCCGGAAAATGGGCGAGAGTCCTCTTAGCATAAAAATAATGCGTAATAAATTTACTGGAGAAGCGGCTGGATACTGCTTTGTACATTTTGCCTCTGATGAAGAAGCTATTAATGCAATGCACAAACTTAATTCTAAACCTATTCCCAATACAAATCCTATGGTTCGATTCAGGCTCAACAATGCCAGTAATTCCGGTAGATCCTTTATTGATAGAGAGTTTTCTGTCTGGGTTGGAGATTTAAGTTCAGATGTAGATGATTATAACTTATATAGAGTATTTTCTTCAAAATACAATACCATCAAGACAGCAAAAGGTAGGACAAAAGATATGAAAATATAGATATGTAAATCATTAACCATTTTGAATCTACATTGATGAATCTTTTTATGTGTTACAAGTAGCATTATTATCCCCTTTAAGGTCTATTCTCATTAGATGTGCCATTCGCGCTCGTAGCATGCTTTCAGCGGTATTTTGCACAGGCAGTCGGTTAGATGTGTCGGTGGGTAGTTATGCAGTTGTAATGTTTTCCACTTCAACTTTAGTAAAAATTGCATTTTTTACTTTGGATGCCGAAGAAGAGAATATAAGAGATAAAGTTAAAAAAGAAGGTTTTGGATACATCCAATGATTAAGAAAAGAAAAATAGAAGGAGAATACTATACCTTGTATAAAGAACTTATGGATGATGAGTCAAAATTTTATATATATTATAGAATGTCAATTGCCGAATTTCAGCAGAATTACCAACAGAATGCGATTTTGAACAAATTGCCAAATAAATTTTGGTTGTCGTGGAATTTTCCCAAGGGCATTAGGAGCCCTAGATGAAAATCACATCAAAATTATAGCACCAATCAATAGTCTTTCCAGCTACTTTAACTACAAAAAGATTTTTTCTGTAGTTCTACTTGCTTTAGTAGATATGTCGTTCGACTTGCTTTAGAAAATCACTATAAACCATTTTTGCCCTTAAAAAACTTACTTCCTCCATTTTCCGAACTCAGGTCGCCCGTAAATTATTTTTTCTTTTATTTCTGTCATATGATCTTTCTTTTCCAACGAGTTTCATCCTACTATTATTTTTTTTGTTTGAAATATTATCGGCAGTGGTCTATTACCTAGATAAAATATAGTGTTTTATTTACCTATTTTAATTTTTTCTTCAATATCCTACCATACCTGAGACTTATCTGCTGCATCTGCATACAGTCGATTCATAAAATCGTATAATTCACTTCTCTCATGAACTAATTCTATTAAAAATTCATCAGTATCATGTGAAAATAATTTTTTCGCACCATTTTGCCCGTCGAAACTCGTCTGAAGTAGTCACACTATGTAGGACTGTGCAAGGAATGTGCCAGGCATGGGCTAGGAAAATATTGTTTGAAAAGATTGTTCGATGCTGGGCACGGACCGTTCCCACTCCAAGCACTTGTAGTGAGAACGGACCGTTGGTAAACCCATTTAAATAACGTTAAAGTAATTTTGCACGTCTCGAGCAGGGCACATGCCTGGCACTATAGTGAGAATAGGCCTTTAGTCTTTTATTCATCCTGTAAAACTGTCCAGTCTTGATCTATTGTGTTTCTGCACTTTTCATTTCATTTGTATCTGCTAGAATTTTTGTAATGCCTTTTGATCTGACTTATAGGATGCTTTTCTAGGTTTTTCAAGTTTTACAATTCTCCTTATATAGAACTTCATGACAAAAAAACTGCATTATTTTCTGAAAGAGAGCAGATAACTTCTTGAACTCGAATCAGTGTTATACAGTAGGCTTTTATGTTTCCGTCATTGTAGTTAATTTGAACAACAAGTCATTAAGTATTTTTGTGTAAGAACGATCTATAGATTCATCAACTATGAGACTGAACTGTTACTAAATTCTTTCCTTTTCTTTAGCACATATTACATTTATAATAATTATAGACTTTATTTTTTTGCATCCATACTTTGTTAGCACAGTCCAAACATGTTATCTATATTAACAACTTCACTGTCCAATGAATTATGTATGATTCAAATGTGATTCAAGAGTAGGTCTTATTCTATAGGCAGTTTTAAAAAAGAACATGATGATATTTATTACACACAAGTAAAAAGTTAGTAAAATATTACATACCTAGTACTCTTAGTTTTTTTATATTATACCAGTAAGGTAAATAATTGCCATTTATATAGAAATTAAAAATATAAAACACTTTATGGGGTGTATTATAAAATAATTATCATTTATAAATTGAACCAATTTATTTTATTAAACATTCTTTTTGTAGTAGTTTCCATCAATTCTTCTCCATGGCATGTGCTAATCATCAGGACATCTCATTTATCAAGTTTATCTTTTTCTCATTGCTACTCCTCCTTTCTGTAACTTGGATTCTGTTACACATAGTGGTAAATCCACTGTTTTTTTCTTAAAGTTCCACATAAATCTGGTATGTGATCCTTTAAAATAACTTGCTAATGATTAGCTGTTATAATAGTTATCTGTAATAATGAGGCGCCCTTCATTCAGTAGAGGCTCACATAATTTATCAATGGTTTTTCGGGTTTATCAAGATTTTCTATTTCAGTAGAAGCACCTGAGTAAAGTTCATATGACCATGTGCAGCTGTTGATAGTGCATAAATTATAAATCTTGAGACCATACCTACTCGCTTTTCATGGTTTGTATGTTTTTATTTGAAGCCTTCCATTAAATTTCACCTTATATTTATCCACCACAAGTATTTCTCTAGGGATGTATAAACTATGAAACCTATCTACAATATTCTTTAAAAGTGGATAAATGTTTTTAGTTTTGCTATCATTATTTGGTTGAATTTTAGCAAAATGCCAACATCTATGAATGAAAATAATTCTTTTATGACATGTTTATGGGACGATATAGGAGAAAATTATACAGCACATCTAATTTCAAATAGTTTTCTATTCTAGCTATTTGGACAATACCCATAAGTAAGATAATGTCAAATAATTTTTTAAGTTCTTCTGTTGAGTTTAACGAAAGTACAAGCTGATTATAGCCTCAAATGTCACATACCTATGGAACAAAAAATTTCAGTTTAGTAGTGTTGGCATGTATCCCCTTATCCATCAAAGTGCAATTGCCAAAAAAAAGTTTCTAATAATTATCTGAAATTAATCTCCAAAGAAACAAATATTTACTTACTCATCCTTGTTATACTTGTTTTGAATAAATCAAAAATTGCATAATTCAGAACATAATATAAACAAAATGTACTTTTCTAAAACTTCATCTTTTATATTTGAAGTATACAGCATCTACATTATAAAAACATGTCAACACTACTAAACCGAAATTTTTTGTTCCATATGTGACATTTGCGGCTATAATCAGCTTGTACTTTTGATAAACTCAACCAGTTCTTCTTTGTCAACATCTTTCCATCTAGTCTCTTTTGACGGCTATTGTTCATTCATATCTGTTTCAAAATTCAGGCATAATTATTTGAATGAATTACCATTTCATCAATTAAAAAGTTATTCAAAAAGTATTCAAATATTTTTATGATACTTACTTGACTGGTTGAAACTGTAATTGCGTCAAAGTTGTGGGTCCCTGAATTTCCAGAAAATAAAATTTCCTTCCTGCTTATAATACATTAGATGAACACACTGTCTTCTGCTACAATATGTGCTCTTCTAGTATAAATTTAATAAACTGACTCTGTTTAGTTGATTTTTCTTGGGGATGAGTAGTCAGAATGTATGCACTAGTACTTAAAGCATCTGCACCCTCTCCAACATTTCTGCTTCATTGTCGGTTGAACTATCTTGTTTATCAAATTGCCACAAGAAATATTTGTTGCTACTTTCACTACTGAAGTCATTAATGATTTCATCTTCATCTGATTCTTCTAGTAATCGTAATTGCACATGCTCAGTGGGGAACAGGCTGGTATTGCAATGACTAATCTACCAATTATTATATGTCTATGTGTAGAACTGCTTAGAACATACAAAATTAGGTTGGGTCACAGTCACACAAACACTAAATATAGTAGTAATCTGGTCATAGCACATGATTTGTTAAATGTCATGTCCCATGATGCACTAAATTAGCTCTTCGCACAGCCTCATACGGCTTAGAAGCCAACTAAATATGATGACCTGTTTGTTTACTAGAGTGCGGCGGGTATGGTTTAGAAAAATTCAATCCTGAAATGATGCTCTCCTATTACAGGAAGATCTTAAATCGTTTTATGATTAATGCAGTTACATCAATCAAGTAACAAACAGGGCGATGAAAGTACTGGGATTTATCCAATGCCACAGCCACCTTTACTTCCAAGCCATGAAGTAAAAAAGGCAACACCGCATTCTATGACGTCGGTAGTCCGATAATCCGAATTTTAGGAAACTGATATTTTGAAAACTTCAATTCATTACAGAAATATTTTTAGGGAAATTAAATTAATAAAACCTTATATTTATCTAATAAATATATATAAAGTTTTATTATTATTTAGGTTATATTATCAATAAAATAATCACTAGAGTAAAATTTATTGCACTTAAAATACAGTGTCAAACAGTTAATCTTACAATTAAATGCAGTCAAGAATCTCTAGAAATTTTAAATATTAAGTACTTGAGCATATAAATAACACAATATTGTTGTTAAGTAAAAACTTGGTGTAACTATTATGATTAAAAAATTCATCCTAAGAAATCAGACACAATATAAATATCGTTCTAAATTAATCTAATTGAAAATTAAATATTTTACTATTTACTTATAACTTTTGTTGAATTTTCATACTTAGGTATACGAAAGTAGCAATTTTATATATGAATAGGTTTTTTGTCATATATGTAGATCAAGTTAAAAGAGGAATAGGTACATGAAAAATGTGTTGAATGTAACATACCATTTATAACTTGTATATCAATTTAAAATAGCCTATATTCTCAAAAGATTTTTGAATATAATACTCAAATTTGTTATCACTTACTTAAAAAGCAGATCTAAATGAGAAAGTAATTGTGACCATCTTGTTAATTTACTATATTGTAAAATCCATTTCAAATCATTACTACTTAATCTATTCTTACCTACATTGACGATTACACTAAAATTACTGCTAACTATTACACTACATATTACACAAATATTATCACACTTGTGTCCCAACTGATTTAATGTTTAATACATAGAAATATACACAGTCACTTGTAATTTTACTTGTCCAGTTTTTCAATGGGATATTATTGTCTAAGTCTAATTGTCATAATTATGTTATCTCTTGTTCCCTCTTCTTATGCAAAAAGTTTCTTCTGTCTTCGGGATTCCTTCTTTCTTTAGTACGATGAACAGTTACATATGATGGTACTTCAGGAAATATATTAGGAACTGCATTGCCTTTTAATTTGGGAAATATTAACTTTTCAATGTGTACATTTCCATCTTTATCTTCTCATTGTTCAGTCCGCTGAATATCATCTTCATGAAAATGTTTGGCACATACTACGGAAGATTTGGTAATTGTGTAGCCTTCTCTATGAATAGAGCATAACCCAGTATACCTTCTTTGGGGATCTTTGGAAAACGAAAACATACTTTCTGCCTGTTTCGTTTTTAAAGTACTGGCATAATTGGTTTTGCTACCAGGTACACAACAATGCCAGGCCATCTGTAACAAAAAACAAAAGTATTATTATTGTTGTTTTTAGTTTACATATTTTGTAACAAGAAGCAAAAGTATTATTATTTTCAGTTTGTTTTCTAGGTTATATTTATACTTGCCTTTTAAATTGTCGTTAAGAATCTTCTATAAGTTCTAAATTTAATGAAATTTCACTTATATTAATATTTTCTAATTGATTTAAACACAATTTACAAATAAAACATTCGAATAAAGTTAAAACACACTAAATTCAACAAACTTTACAAGCCTTCCTATATGAAATCTTAAACAAAACAAACCACGGTCGGACTACCACGCGTTGTTGCCAAATTTCTACTTCATGGCTTGGAAGTAAAGGTGGCTGTGCCAATGCACATCTGTAGACCAGTCTTTGTTCACATTTAGAAGACTTTTTTGTGGTCTTATTGGGCCCATGGTAGGAGTATGTATCAGTTGTATGGTCCCCATCATACAACTGTTACATTGAACAAATTGAAAGGGTCCAAAATTAATTTTTTGCATAGAGTATGATGATCCCCATAATACAACTGTTACATTGAACAGATTGAAAGGGTCCAAAATTAATTTTTGAGGATAGCAGCTTTTAGGAGTGGATATGACTATCAGTGGGTAAGAGACAGTATTGATTTACAAACACTTGAGTCTCCACTTAAGTACCAACACTTGTTAGATTTATGTTTACTGCAAAAAGTCATTAATGCTATTATATATTGTCCTCAATTGTAATCACTCATTAGTCTTACAGTACCCAGTAGTAAAAATAGACAATCGAAAATATTTTCAGTGCCATTTCATCACACTAAAATAATTTTACTTTTATCACACTAATTATGGTATCAATGAACCAACTACGTGATTGCTCCAGAGTGCCAACACAATTAAATTTTTTTGACTCCAATTAGTTTATTTACAAAACAACTGACAAAACAACAAAAAGGTATCTTATAATAAGTGATCTCTTTTACATGTCAATACTACTCTACCCTTGATAGCTGTATTAAAGTTTGTTATAATTTATTATTCTGAGATGTCTGATATTTTAAAAATTTATTGTTTTTAAGGTGTAGCTTTGTTAAAACTTTTGTAAATGGATTCCTTTAATAAATAAATAGTACCTGCAACACCAAAAACTATTTTGTGGCCATTGCTATTTTTCCTGTGAATATGTTACCTTGTAAGCACTTCACTATTATGTAAAAATGGCAGTATTAAATAGTAAATGGTTGCTTTTAGTTATTTTAGATGCAAGTGGATTTAGTAAAGGATATGGGTTTGTAAGATTTGGAAGTGAAGAGGAAATGAAGGACAGCTTAATATCTATGAATGGTTTTATAGGACTTGGGACAAAAGCTCTGAAAATATGTAATGCTGTGCCTAAACCCAAGGGACTATTACCTGGTTATTCAGGACCTTCAAACCAGAATGATAGTAATGATTTCAGTCAGTATTATGATCCAACAACATATTTGCAAAACTATGCATCTTGGCAACCAGTAAGTTATTTATTATAGTTTGTAAAATGGTTTCATAAATTTTCACATTTGTGAAATTTTTACTGTCTTATTAGTATTATTATATTGTAAACAGAAGATTCAGTTTACATAAATATTACAGTTAATTTTGAGATTTAAAACTCTCGTATAAAAAGGTTATGATTTTTTTAATCTATCAATGAAATTATTTTTTACAGGGGTCTTTTTATGATCAATCATCTGAACACCAAGCTGCACGTGAGAATTCAAATATGTACTCTGAAAGAAAGGAGGATGATTTGGACTTGATAGGTAAGTTAATATAAAAATATAGTTTGTTCTTTATGTGACTGAGGTCTTCCCGCTGTTCTTGCTTATATTCAAAGTATATACGGGAATTACACACATGCCACCCCCAATATTAATCTTGGTTTAATTTAATCGATGTTCACCAATAGACTCGTCTAGGATAATTAACACTTATACTGGCTATATCTTCTGCCCATTGCAGGTGTGTATTTTTAATTATAGTTGTACTGTACGTTAAGTTTTAAATTAAATATACACCCTATAAAAATGGCAACACTGCGCGCCGTCGACTTTCCACGAACCTCCGTTGCCCAGTCGCCAATAATTTGTCATACAGTGGTTGTTTAAAGTAATAAGAGTGTAGATTTTTTATTTATTTTTGTAAACAACA